CAGAAAATATTTTAATGATAAAAATAAGATTTCATGACGAAATTGGACGTATAGTTTTGAAATTATCGGTATTTACTATCTGCTGTCTGATGTCTGCTTCCCGACTGCTTCTCGCTTAATCTGATGCAGCCCAGGTCTCTCTGTGCGACATCCGTCAAAGCCCTGGCAGTGCTATCCGCCAACTATCATGTCGGGAGCAACCGCTCCAGAAGCTGCGCACGCCAACCACCAGAGCCATGCATAGCATAGCGCGAGGCGAATCGAACGCCACTACGACGTGATCCGCGGCCTCCGCTGTGAGTATGGAGTCTCGACAGGACGGGACGCCCGGGACGGTGGACACTCGGCGACGCGAGAAGGCGATGGCGGGTAAACTCAAACTCTTAGTAGAAAAACGAAAAATAAAGATTAGCTGTATTAGCAGCTAAAAAAAAAAAATGCTGAATCGGGATAGCTGTGCAGCCAAAACTAGCCAATTCACTGCAAAAAGTTTTCGTGAATTTACGAAAATATATGTTACGAAATGCTTTGTAAAAGATATTTTACGAAAATATTACGTAAGTGTCAATTTATGAAACATTTTGTAGTTTTACAAATATATTTCGTAACGACATGCAAATTTTTGTGATGAGTCATAAAAGTTGAACAAAATATATACAAATTTCATACTATTTAGTTAAAGCATTGGGATTTTACAAAGAAATTCGTAAAATAACGATGTTTCGTAATTTGTTAAAAACGAAGGTTTCGTAATAGAAAATTAACCGAGAAAATTTCGTAAAATAACGATAATTTTTTTTAAAGTGAATCCTGTCTCAGTCAACAGCTTAGTGTCACTCCTGAGAGGTGCGATCGTTTACGCACTCCTGCCCCAAGGCAGCCACGAAAAAGCTATCAACTCGTTTGCGGTATGTTACCTGTAGACTACCTAACACAAACACACTAAATGTATTTGTAGTTTTTTGTGCAAACGTTTGCACAAAGTTGCGCATACATTTCGATTCGCACGAATTTATGCCCAAATATGTACGAATTTGTGCATACGTATGCATAAAAACATGCACTTCTTCACACAAATTTGTGCGAATGAAACGTATGCGCAACTTTGTACGAATAAAACAGGGGATTCCTTTCTCTTAAATGTTCATACAAGACCCGATAATGGTACGATTTGGTCGGGTTTGCGGGTTTGCCGGTAGTTCTGTTATAAGCTCGTGGCTTTTGGCTAACGGTGTACTTTGATATTTTTCAGGGCCCATATGTGGCTTACGCGGATCGGTTTATAAATTGTGAACAGCAATACGCGTGGAGAATGTATTTACGAGCTACTCACTTCAACCCCCAGAAACCAAATGAACTGCAACTTCTTAACGGAAATTTGACTGCTACAAAAGGATTTGATGACAATTGTTGGGTAAGATATTGCTCTTTGTATTCAAAGTGAAAATGCAACACTCTAAGAAAAATTACAAATTTCTGTATCAAATTTGTTACAGTTTTCTGTATCCGGGCACTGTGATACACCAATTTGCATCAGTGATACAAAATCTTGCAATAGCTTATAAAAATTTGTAAACATTACAAATTTTTGATTTTATTTCAAAATTTAATATCCATTTGATAATTTTCTGTAATCTGATTACAAATTTCTGTAAACGGGATACAAATTTCTGTAACATGGAGACAGAAATCTGTATGTGCGTTCAAAACTTTGCGGTTTTAACGTTTAATTTGAACACGATATGAGTAGCAGTGAGACTGAATCTAGCACCATATACGATAAGATCAATTTTCAAAGTATTCACATATGAAGCCCATCTTATAATCTGATAGCTAAGGGAAAGGCTCAGAGGCCAGCCAAGACGTGGGGAAAAATGACACCGGGTCGGCGCACGGCTGCTCGCAGGTAGTCGCCTTAGCCGCGTGGGCTAAGGCGTCGAATCCCATCCCAGAGGTTCCGGGGTTCAACTCCCGGTTAGGTAAGGTAACTTCGAAGTTAACTGCCTGTCATGTGAGGGCAACATCTAAAATGAGACAACCAGCAGGAAAAAATATTTTTCTTTCATATCGGAGTATGAACATCAACGTATTTTCTTCTGTATCGATGGATACAAATTTCTGTATCCATATTACAAATTTGTTTTTGTATCCGAAAGAATACAATTTTTTGTATCACGGATGCTGAAAAAACTGCATATCCAAACTACAGATTTTTGTATTATTTTTTTTTAGAGTGAAGGTTTAAAATTCGCTAAAAACAAAGTAAACAAAGCAGTGATGTGGTAGTTACGCATTTTGATTTGTCGGGCACTATTTCGTTTGCGTTTTGTATTTCAAGGCACACCGAGAAACATGACTTAGGCCAACACAACGATATTATTATGTATTCAAAACTTTTCAGCGATCCTCAGTTTGTAACAACCATTCCGATTACATTACAGATTGAACATTTTATCAAGTATCAATTTTTTTTATTGCAGGCAAAAGTATACCTGGATATTCGAAATAATAATCAATGGAAAGAAAACGCTTTCGTCTTTGAATTTAAAGACAAGGCGTGTACAACGCTGCGAACAAACTTACCCGGACCTGCTAACATTTTCTTTGGAAAAGGAAATGGAGAAAGGAAACCCTGCGTTATTCCCCCTGTGAGTAAATACCGTAAATACAGGTCATGTAAAACCTGTGAGTCCATACATTTTTTGTGTAGATTGCATATTAAATTAATATACATTATATATTATTATACACGAGGGGTCCCCCACTTCCAAAATCGGTGTACAACGTTTTGGCGAGTTGACGAGTTGCCGCGAGTTAGGCACGAGTTGGGATCCTTCTTAAGAGAGTTTTGCGCTATATTTAGCAAATTTAGCAAAGTTTTGGAAAATTTTCGCGAGTCGGCGCGAGTTCTTGCGAGTTGGACGCGAGTTGGACGCGAGTCGCGAGTTGGGCCCGGGCAAGTGTACAACGAGTTTCCTTAGGGGGGACCCCTCGATTATACATAACATTACAATGTTTAAAAGGCGCTGGAATTGCAAAACTACTCTTGATGGACCATTGAATGCTGAACTGTTTGGTTGGTATTTTTCACGATTTTACACGAATAACGCCTCTTTTCCAGGGAGTTCACAAGGCGGACCAAGAACCCGTTGATTGGACGTTTCCGAAGTTTCCAGTCATGCCTTATGGACATTACAAATTTCGACTTAACAGTAATGCCAACGAGATTATATTGTGCTTGCAAGTGGAATGTCATATAATTCCTAAACTTAAATGAGAAGCAGAACTGGGTCACATTACATACATATAAAAGTTCATCAAATTTAAAACTTGTGTCTTGTTATAATTTGCAGCCCTCCGGCTGGTAGAGGTGGAAGATGATAGGGTCTTTGCTGTGGAGTGTAAGCGCGCCGGGTACGCACTGCGCAAGTCATTCACCGGGCCGTCAACGGCACGCCGCCGGACTTGACGGGTTTAACAACGAGGACTAACGAGCCAGCAAAGTAGTGAGCGCGCGCGCGCGTGTGTGCGTGAGTGTGTGTGCGTGAGTGAGTGCGTGCGGGTGAGCGCGCGCGCGTGTGGGTGGGTGCGCACGCGGGTAACTTGCGACCATTAGGCTTTAGGCCCTCCGTAAGCAAACAAACGAACGGACAAATGAACGAACCGACCGACCAACCAAACCAACCAACGAGCACACGACTGACGCCTCGCCCCGGGCTAGGCGGAAGGGGGGGGGGGTGTAACACTCGGAGGCACGCGCGCCGCCACCACCAGCGCATGCGTGTGGCCGGGGGGGGGGGGGCTTTCGTCATTAATCAGATCACTAACATGTGTCCTAGGTAAGAAGCTTTTCCTGGGCGGGCTGCAACACGCCCCCCTGCCTCACCATTGCAGAGCCACCAAACCAGGAGGGGAGTTGCATCTATCTTTTCCATCTCACTCACACTCTTCTTCTTTCCCTGCACCCCCCTTCCCTCTCTCTCTATCTCTCTCACCTCTCTGGAGGCTGCGGGGCCAAGCCGGCCGATCCGACGAAGTGGCGTGTCTGCTGTAAGTGGCGGATCCGACCGGCTCGCCCGCCCGCCCGCCGCCCGTCGCTTTGCCACGTCAATAATTCAATGAATGAATGAGCGAGTGAATGAGTTGGACGAATGGGCTGGCTATCCATTATGTCTCTGGTGGTAACTCCCGCGGCTGATCCGCCCGCCGCCGCCCCGCCCCGTACAAATGACGCCCGCAACAGCTCGTCAATGGAACTTGTGCACACAACTCGTGTCTTTAAGAAGGGAGGGGGGGGGGGATATTAAATATCATGGGGTCCCCTAAAAGGATTAGGACGGTCGTTAGAGCAGGGGCCTCGTGATATTTGTACCCAGGCGCACAAGTATCACTGTATGGACTCCAATGATCGTCGTTTTTCTCGTGGGTCCCCATAATATTTGGATCCCCTCCAAAAGCCCGATCCATAGATTCCTCATCACCCTCACCCCACAGACTGTTCCCTTCCCCATGACTACTCACTGTGGTTCTCGAACGAGCAGCTCTTGAAGCGCACGTTGAGCGCGTTGCCGCTGGGGCAGTTGTTGAGCTCCGACACCGAGTTGGGGCACTCCTGCTTGTTCTCCAGGCCGTCGTTGACGTTGTACGTGAAGTCGAACCGGCCCGAGATGGGGCAGTACTCCTTGATGACGTCCTCGCCGTCCAGCTCCTTGGTTTCTGCAACACACGAAAAAGAAAACCAAACCGCATTATTGTTTTGCAACAAAAATCAGCTAAACAAACAATAACAACATTTGTTGTTTTAAAAAACCATCACTGAAATTGCCAAGTATTTTTTGCCCCAAGTTGAGGAGTCAAATCCCAGACGAGATACCCCCTCCCCCTCTTTTCCAAACACCTACCGCACGCGGTGTCGCACGCTAAGTACAATGACGGCTAATGGCTTCACCACCCGTGTTCGCCAATTTGCTTTACATTTTGCGATAATTTGCAGCGACTAAAAGGTATGTGGGGGGGACAGAGCGACAGACAGGAAGGAAGAGCTGGGGCATGTTGTGACCCCAAGTGGCAACAACCCCAAGAGAGTGAGTGACTGAGTGAGAGAGAGACGAGCGAGGTCTGAGTGAGAGAGACGGTCTGTGTAATAATGGCACACATCCGGTCCCCACGGCTCACGACGGCCCGGGTCTGTCGCCTCGTCCAGACACCTGCTGCTGCTGCCGCACGAGCCGCACCAACTCCAAGAGCCACACAAGAGCAAGAGAGCGCGCTTTCAACTGAAACTACTTCACCGCTCCACTGCCGTGCTCTTTGGCGTCCGCCAAAGAGCAAGAAAGAAGGGGAAACTTGCGCAGAAAAGTCCTCTCGGCTAATACTAGTACACACACACATTCACATTCACACATACGAGCCCTCCCTCATATTCTCCTTCCGGGAACGAAAAATCTGCTCCGGGGCAACACACAAAAATGATGAAACCCGACCGGATACGTTCGTAAATTGCCTTCTCTCCCCCCTTGCGCGCTCGGCCTTCAGCGCAGTGGTGCTTTCAAAGCTCCGTCAAAAGTCGAGCCGCCCGCCCCGCCCCGCCCAAGCAGGCAATCGTCCTGCGCCCTTTCGCCCGCCTGTGTGGTCAAAAACAGGCCGCGTTGTAAAAGGTCGGGTCGTAAAGGCAGAGGCGAGCAAAGCAGAGGGAAGGAGAGCGTGCGAGCGACAGCGGCCAGGGGGGCCGGACACAAACTCCACGTCATATCTTTTTAAGGGGGCCACAAGGGGGCACATTTTCCACGACTCTCGAGCACTTTTATCTTACGGACAGGTCCTATCTAAGTTCAAAATTTGCGACGCAATCTTTCTATGTGCTACGTTAAAGTTAGCACACCTGAGAAAAAAATGTAACAAAAGGTAGATTTTCCATTCCATGGACTCTCAAAACATTTTTGTTTTTGACCTCCAAAATTGTCGTAATTTCTGCACGATCCTGGAGGAGGCGGAGGAGGAGGAGGGAAGGGAGTAAGAGAAGGCAGGGCAGGAGAGAAAAAGAGAGAAGGGGAGGGGGGGGGCAAACGTGGAGGAACGCGATGCGTTGCAACACGGGGTGAGCAGGCCACTCGAAACGCTAATTACACAAACACAAAAAACAATACGGGGCAATTAGGGTTGCAAGAGGAAGGACTCCGAGCGGCTATTGCTCCTGCAGGAGCTAAGCTATGTAAGTGAAGGATTGATTTTCCATCACCTCTCCGTAGGCGACCAAACAGCAGTTTTCCTTTTTTTTCCATTTTCTTATTTTCAACAAATGAGACACAATGCGTTTTTTTTTCTTTTTAAAAGAAAGAGAATTGTTATTAGGAGGGTCGGTAAGTGGCTGCTTTCAAAATCTCTGCGGCAGCAGCAGCCCTAGGAGCGCATTAGCCTTAACGCTGGGCTAACCTACACAGAGAGATGGAGGAGGCGGTGTGCTTTGCGTTGGCGTGCCGCCCCGTCCCGCCCCGCCCCGCCCTCGGGAGCCTGCTGTTGAGTCATCTCCCGGAGAGTTTACGATACATATCGCGCCCTTCATGTGACAGCATTTGTCCAGGCGCGGACCTGATACAATCTGACGGACACGGACAGAGTCCTCTGCCTACTGCGCGGGCCCCGCGCCGCGCTCTATGGCCTGAGGGCGTGGCGTGGCGGGACGTTGTGTAGCGTGGCGAGACGGGTAGGCATTTAAATTTTCCAGAAAATTATTTCCATAAATTTTTAAAAGAAATGTCCCATTATTTTTGAAGAGATAAATTTTTTTCAAAATTTTCTGGACATATTTCATATTTTTCAGTTTTTTTCTGGAAACGTTTTAAGAGTTATCCGGGAAATAAATCGGGCTTTAAAATCCCGAGTGGCGGGTGGCGGGGCGGGGCAGGGCGAGGCGTGGCGTGGGGAGCTTTCGGCCGTCACCGGCGTCCAAGTCTCCAGAGTGTCGTCATGCTACTCCTAGGCCCACCCTGCTGCGCCCGGCTGCGCCCTGCTCCCGCCGCCGCCGCGCACTTCACTCCCTTCTCCTGCCGAGCGACGATGCGTCTTTGTATATGAATAAGGGAGGGGGGGGAGAGAGAAGATGAATGGCTGCAGCCTCCCTGTCACGCTGTCCAGCTCCAGAGATTCAACGTGTCGGGCTGAGTGACGTTATCGCCCCGGCCCGCAGGACCCGCAGGACCCGCAGGACCCGCAGGACCGACAGGTGGAGCCTCCTGGATCAGCGGCTAAGGCTCACACCGAAATTTAAGAAAAAGCGCGTGAGACAAAGAAAAATAAACCAGTTAAAAGAATGGCTCAGTGAAAATGAACTTTGAAAAAGTACACAAAATAAAGTATAAATATTGAGAGCCCTCTGGCAACCCCCACGCCTCCTAAAACACCAGAAAAATCTTTTGTTGGCTGAGCGATAGCGAAGCCTATTACTCCAGTGATGATCAAAAAGTTTCGTGTCTGTCTGTCTGTCTGTCTGTTTGTCTGTACGCACGATAACTCGAGAACGAATTGAGCTAGCGACCTGGGATTTTCAGGGTCGTTTTGTATCATAAAAAGACGGATCGAGTTCGAAGAAGAGCATTCTAGCTCAAAAATTGGATTTTTAAAAAATCAAAAACCACAGGTCCCACAAATAATGTTTTTTAAAAATATTTTTTTTACAGTCTCCTAAGGGGTAACTCATCAAAGTAGAGTCCTTTGGGCGAAAATTTTCTCCGTTTTGCTCTAGCTCAAACCGTTGAGGCGCTAGAGGGTGTTTTTGACGAAAATAAGCGAACAAATGTACAACCCTGCTTGCTTAGTCAAAGTGACGGGCCGGAGGCCCGTATCCTTGTGTACATTTTTGCACTACCCGACTCGGGTGTCAGCGCCGCAGGCCTAGGTAGATGTATGCCAGGCGCGTCGCAGCGTAACAGTGTTTCGTGAGATATCGCGAAGCCTGTTACGCGAGACGTGGTCTGGCGTACATCTACCTAGTTTTAAATATTTGAAATAATGATAATATGTAATTGTTGGATACGAAACACCGAACACCGGTGTGACACGGGCGATAAACACGTACCGCTGCGTCTGGAACGTGCGTGCGTTCACACACATGCAGTCACACACACACACGCACACTTACACGCTTGTTGTTGTTAGACGGATGCATCTAATATATTCCTCACCTTTCTCAACCCGGTCACGTGACCTCGCATAGCGGCCGCTCCGTGAGACAACGCCCAAGAGAAGAAGAGACGAGAGAGGGAGAGATAGAGGGAGAGGGAGAGGGAGAGGGAGAGGGGGGGGGAGAGAGAGAGAGAGAGAGAGAGAGAGACGACGACGACGAAACGAGAAAAAGACAAGGAAGATGCAAAAAGGGAAGAACACGGGCTGCTCGGCGCGCAAGAGCTGCTCCATTGGTCATTCCCGGACGGTATTCGAACACGCCCCTCTCGCGCGCGCAGCACACAAGACTCAATCACTCCCCCCTCTCTCTATCCCTCTCCGTCTCTCCTATAGCTATCCCTTTAAATTCCGCGCTCTTTTTAGTATTATTATTTATATGACGTTGCATGTGCAATGGCCCGCGACGCGCGACGTGCAACAACACAACATCACGCCAGCGCCATGAAACGTTAGCCGTAACAGCCAACTTTGTGACCGGTGCAGCTGGAGCTTACTGCAGCTTGCCTGCAGCTGCTACTGCAGCTGCCACGCCTCCCCGCCGCGCTACCGTTTCCGACCGATCGCGCGGACCACGCGCGCTGCGGAGGAGGCGCTACCGTCCGAGTGACACCGCCGTGCGCCTCCACGGAGCGAGCAGCAGTCCCTTTCCACGAACGGACCAGGCAGCAGCAGCAGCAGCAGCAGCAGCGGCTGCAGGGCACAAGCAGGCGACGGCCGGTTTCCGGCCCTGACAAGCTTCGCCGCGATATGCATCTCTCCCTCGCTCGAGAAACACTCCCTGATTGCCCCGTCCAGCAGGCGCAGGGGCACTCAAGTACTCAATACCGCCCTCGCCCGGCCCGCCTGGGACTGTCTTTCAGATTCATTTTGAAAAGCCCGCGCGGCATGCCCAGTGCTTTTCGTTTGTCGCATTTTTTCTTATGACAAACTTTTACTGCGCGCGAGTTCACTTTAGCCGTAAGCTCGCGCGAGGTACGCGATCACGCGTTATTAGTATCGGGCTCGGGGTTCAGAAGATCAAAATCACGTGTGTGCTATTGCGATTCGTTTTGGAATCCATAGCAAGGATTCTGCCAACGCCTGAACAGGAGCCGCGACATAAAGGAAAATAAGGGGAGGGAGGGAGAGAGGGAGAGATAGAGAGAGGGAGTGAGTGAGGGAGGGAGGGAGGGAGGGAGGGAGAGAGAGAGAGAGAGAGAGAGAGAGAGAGAGAGAGAGAGAGAGAGAGAGAGAGAGAGCCTTTAGCCTTCCCCCGAAACACTGCACGAAGCCCCTGTGCGCCGTCTTTGCTAAACAATGCGAGGAAACGAACCTAAAGAGGAAGTCCATCCAACGGGCCGCTTGCAAAACGTCGGGAGGATGGAGGGAGAGGGGGGGGGAGGCTCACCCTGGATTGCGATTAGAGAACACACAGCTATGGCTGTACACAGTGAGAAAACAAAATCGTATACCAATGAGTTTTGAGGATGTATTTTACAACTGCACTGCACGCCTGGTTGTCTCTGGTGTGCGCGGTCACCGCTGCCCTCCCGACCGCACAACGCCGCGCCACCCTTTTTGTTTTTCTGTCGCT